GCGCCCGCGTGGGGGGGCCTCCGGGCCCCCGCAGGCTAGTTAAGTAAATAAAGTGAAGAATCCGCTAGGGCACCCTCCGCCAGGTCGCAATGCCTGACGAAGGGTGCCCGAGGCAGGGAAGGTTTTCTTCATTCACCCCTTCGCCTACACGGAGCTTTCTTAATACATCAACGTAACGTCCGGCACGCTTGCATAGTATACCGGCCAACACGACGAGCTTTTTTCCCGTCCGATCCTGGGATCGAACTCGTTACCTTTGCGGTACTACAAAGCCATCACGCTAACCGTTACGCCACACAACCGGTGACGAACCCGGCTTTTTTTAGTGCTTATGACTTGTTAAATCGTCGCCGGTTGAAATTATTTCTGGCTTATCTATATCGAGTCTACATAAGCCAGTTTGCGGCGGTGTTTCGGTGTGATCAGCATGGAGTAAGTGGGCTAAGAGGAGTGAATGGGATAGAAGATTGGAAGGATATGGTAGCAGGTTCGAGACGCAGGTAGGGTAAAAAAATAAAAATCGAGAGGTAAGCGAATTAATTGTAAATTTGTAGGGTAGCTAATCCCATCCCGACCCCTGCGTCAGGGTTTACCGAATTCCGGTTACCTGACGTTCAGGGCTCCGGTTACCTTAAACCAGGGTTCTATGGTTTAGGTAACCGCAGCAGATAGAACCTGGGGGTTAAAAAAAATCCCCTTATCTAACGGGATTTAAATATAAGATATAAATATATTAAATTAAGTAAAAAAAGTGATAATAGAGAAAAAAGAAAAAATTCTAAGTCTTTAAGATGTAATTTTTTTTTTATAATAAAAAGCAAAAAAATTAATATAAGTTATTAGGTATTAATTAATATGAACTAATTATTATGCAGTCTAAATCAATTAAAGTGCTCATTTTTCTTAAAGTTACACGGTATATAAGAAAAGAAAAAAATAGTAAGATCTAAGGAAATATTTTTTCTAAGTTAAGTAGAACTGATACGTGTTATATATATTATTTAAATACACTGATTAATTTATCTAATTGCAATAGAGCAGTTGAAATAAGTCTTTGTGCAAATAATTAATTTAATTATGAGCAAAATTGCAAACACAATCTTAGCCTTTATAATGAAGTAATAAAATAATAAAGTAATTAAATTAATAAATTGCTTATATTATTAAAGTTGAAAAAATACATAAAAAATATATATTTTTCTTAGTTAAGTAAAATAACTAACACTAGTTATACTTATTAATTAAATTGAACTAATTAAATAATCTGTTTGTCACAGAATTGTTGAAATAAATAATTAGTCTTTGAGCCATTAAATAATTCTAAGTAAAATTGCAAAGACAATCTAATAAAGTGCTCATAAACAGTATATAGCTAATTAAAACATGAAATATCAATTAAAAGATATAATTACAATAACTTTATTAACATTGTATAATACAATAATTTCAACATATTAGTAGCTAATTTCAAATTAAACTTTTAAAATATTAAATTTTCCACTTCGAACTGTTTAAAAGTCATGGATTTTCACTCAAATTAAACTTGTCAAAAACATAAATTTTTTCTTTTTATGTTTCATGCTAAAAACTCATGCATATATATCCATGGCTTTTTACTCAATTCGTGGATTTCTAAACTGAACTTTAAATTTGCTTAATTGAAATTGACTCGAATGGTAATAGTTGATATATAATTGAACTTGTGTATATTTGCTAATTTAATATCACTGAAATTGATAAAAATTAAATTAAATTAAACACTTACAGATAAAGTTAAATAATTTTATTTGATGGCATTACACAAATTTATATTTAAGTTAGATCGTTACATTACAAATAATAAATACATTATTATAACATACTCTTACTCTAACTACAATAGAACAGCATTTATAATTAATAATTTTTACTTATTACAAAGATTAATTACAATTGCTACTATTATAAACATTATTATATTAATTATGATTACTACTATTATATAAACATGTAAAAATTCAAATCATGACTTAGACATTAAATAATGAAAGAAAAATGTGTGCTTTTGACATGTTTATATTGAGTAAAAATCCATGGTTTAGTAAATAATGAATAAAAAATTACACGATTAAACGAGTCAATATGTAAATAATTAATTCTAATTGTAAATTTGTAAATTAACTAATTCTTAAATAAAACTCAATATACTCGTATGTATATATGTAAAGCCAATCGGTTGTTGTTCACTTCACTTTGTCTTGATTTTTCTAATAACAAAAGACCTCGAAGTCATCAGAGGCCAGAAGTTTAAGACACCCAAACATGACAATGAGGTTCATCGGTTGCCGGTCACTTCACTCTGGTCTTAATTCCTCAGAATTGATAAATGAATTTCTCCCATATTACCTATAAAATGCAAAGACATAAATATTTATGTAATTCAGTGAGTGGTGAATAAAAAAAAAATTACATGAGCAAGTGAGTTAATATGTTTGTATCTTTAGCAAATGATGGAGCGCCTAAAGACTCACAATGAAAGAAAACATTAATGGTACGAATAAAACAACAAATTTAAAAGGTTAACAATAATTATATTCAATATTTAGATAAATGTGTTACAAACATTTAGGTTCTTGGCATTGGCTTCTCAATGCAAACATAGTAGAATCTTGACAAGTGTTTTGGGACAGCACGATCACCAGTACTAGTCAAATTAGCAATTTGATACAACCTGTAAGAAATATTTATTAATATTGTAATAAAACAATATTGTACAATAATTAAAATACTATAAACTAAATATAAAACTATTTTAACAAAACATTAGTTAATTTACATGAATACAAATCAAGAGGCGAGAAACCATAGGAGGGAAAATGCAGGGGCCTAAGGGACCAGGGGCTTACAAGTACAAGACCATGGGGCTTACAAGTACAAGACCATGGGGCTTACAAGTACAAGACCATGGGGCTTACAAGTACAAGACCATGGGGCTTACAAGTACAAGACCATGGGGCTTACAAGTACAAGACCATGGGGCTTACAAATACAAGACCATGGGGCTTACAAGTACAAGACCATGGGGCTTACAAGTACAAGACCATGGGGCTTACAAGAACAAGACCATGGGGCTTACAAGAACAAGACCATGGACTTACAAGTACAAGACCAGGCCGCAGGCTATTCGAGCAAGATGAGACCAAAATCCAAGAGGTTCGAGTAAAGTGAGACCAGAGTGCAAACCATTCAGAAGACCGCCTGAAGTTTCGTCAAATAAGCCTATAAAACAAATTATTTAACATAATTCTTAGGTATATATATCAAGTATAAAAATATTTTAATACTTATATTTCTTTGCCAAACAAATGTTTTAATGTCTAAACTGCTGTATCCGCAATCTTCACAATGGAGCCAATCAGTTTACTTTGTCTTGATTTATCACAACTGACGGATGACATTCTTCTATTACACCTATGACATCAAAATAATTCAAAATATTTATATAATTTAAGTAACATATTATAAGTAACATATAAGCATTAATGAAAATTCAAACAACAATTTGAACTAATAAAACTATGTATTTATTTAATAATTAGATGAATATATTATAAGTATCCAAATCATAACCCTTGATTGAATGCAGCATGTATCTTCTCTAGGAACACCATTGAGTTAAGGTTTCTGACAGCAAGATAAGTCCAATGCAGGCACGTGTGTAAGTTGAGGGCAATCCTGAAGAGATCATTGCTTACCCTGTGAACAAAAGCATTTAATTGGTTATAAGTCAGACTACTATAATACATTATAAAAATGTAACTCACCAAGTGTTTTCTTCTGAGCCGTTTTACTACGTCTTCCTAAGTAAACTGCAACAAGTGGTTTTTATTGTAACTGATCAAACTACGTTATTAAAATGTTAGTATTGTTAATGAGTTAGTAAGACTACTGGTAAGAACATGCATAAGACTAAACACGGTTACAAAAAGAACCACTTGTGCAAATTTATAAGAATTAGTGTTTCAAAACCCAAGCAGTTGATTGTCGACTCATCGTTCATGAGCGTTTACAGTCTGATTAGAGTCTATTGATTCAGAAGTGGATAATTGAATCTGAAATAAAAAAAACAAAAAATTAGAACACGTCTTTCAAAATGTTTGATAAAGGATACATACTACCTGTCTAATAGATACTCGATAAGCGCTTACTGTTTGATGGATTGAAGGCGATGAGGACTGGTGGTTCAGTGGTGCAGGAGAATTGAATCTGAAATAAACAAAAAAAAAAAAAGATTAGAACACGTCTTTGAAAATGTTTGGTAAAGGATACATACTGCCTGCCTGATAGATACTTGATATGTGCTTACTGTTTGATGGATTGAAGGCGATGAGGACTGGTGGTTCAGTGGTGCAGGAGAATTGAATCTGAAATGAACAAAAAAAAAAAAAAAGATTAGAACATGTCTTTGAAAATGTTTGGTAAAGGATACATACTGCCTGTCTGACAGAAACTTGACATGTGCTTACTGTTTGATGGATTGAAGGCGATGAGGACTGGTGGTTCAGTGGTGCAGGAGAATTGAATCTGAAATAAACAAAAAAAAAAAAAAATTAGAACACGTCTTTGAAAATGTTTGGTAAAGGATACATACTGCCTGTCTGATAGATACTTGATATGTGCTTACTGTTTGATGGATTGAAGGCGATGAGGACTGGTGGTTCAGTGGTGCAGGAGAATTGAATCTGAAATAAACAAAAAAAAAAAAAAAGATTAGAACACGTCTTTGAAAATGTTTGGTAAAGGATACATACTGCCTGTCTGATAGATACTTGATATGTGCTTACTGTTTGATGGATTGAAGGCGATGAGGACTGTTGGTTCAGTGGTGCAGGAGAATTGAATCTGAAATGAACAAAAAAAAAAAAAGATTAGAACACGTCTTTGAAAATGTTTGGTAAAGGATACATACTGCCTGTCTGATAGATACTTGATATGTGCTTACTGTTTGATGGATTGAAGGCGATGAGGACTGGTGATTCAGTGGTGCAGGAGAATTGAATCTGAAATAAACAAAAAAAGATTAGAACACGTCTTTGAAAATGTTTGGTAAAGGATACATACTGCCTGTCTGATAGATACTTGATATGTGCTTACTGTTTGATGGATTGAAGGCGATGAGGACTGGTGGTTCAGTGGTGCAGGAGAATTGAATCTGAAATGAACAAAAAAAAAAAGATTAGAACACGTCTTTGAAAATGTTTGGTAAAGGATACATACTGCCTGTCTGATAGATACTTGATATGTGCTTACTGTTTGATGGATTGAAGGCGATGAGGACTGGTGGTTCAGTGGTGCAGGAGAATTGAATCTGAAATGAAAAAAAAAAAAAAAAGATTAGAACACGTCTTTGAAAATGTTTGGTAAAGGATACATACTGCCTGTCTGATAGATACTTGATATGTGCTTACTGTTTGATGGATTGAAGGCGATGAGGACTGGTGGTTCAGTGGTGCAGGAGAATTGAATCTGAAATAAACAAAAAAAAAAAAAGATTAGAACACGTCTTTGAAAATGTTTGGTAAAGGATACATACTGCCTGTCTGATAGATGCTTGATATGTGCTTACTGTTTGATGGATTGAAGGCGATGAGGGGTGTTGATTCAGAAGTGGATAATTGAATCTGAAATAAAAAAAAAAAACAAAAGATTGGAACACGTCTTTTAAAATGTTTGATAAAGGATACAGACTGCCTGATAGATACTTGATAAGTCTTACTGTTTGATGGATTAAAGGCGATGAAGGCTGCTGATTCAGAAGTGGATAATTGAATCTGAAATAAAAAAAAAAAAGATTAGAACACGTCTTTTAAAATGTTTGATAAAGGATACAGACTGCCTGATAGATACTTGATAAGTTCTTACTGTTTGATGGATTAAAGGAGATGAGGGCTGTTGATTCAGAAGTGAATAATTGAATCTGAAATAAAAAAAACAACAAAAGATAAGAACACGTCTTTTAAAATATTTGATAAAGGATACACACGCAATGAGGGCTGTTGATTCAGAAGTGGATAATTGAATCTGAAATAAAAAAAAAAAAAACAGAAGATTAAAACACGTCTTTTAAAATGTTTGATAAAGGGTACAGACTGCCTGATAGATACTTGATAAGAGCTTACTGTTTGATCGACTAGAGTCGGTTGGGTCCAATGAGGCAGTTGATTCAGTAGCGGAGAATTTAATCTGGAACAAAAAAACAAGAGATTAGAATACATCTTTTAAAATGTTTGATAAATAACACATACTGCTGAAGTAGGTAAAGTTATCTGCAGGTTAAAATTAAATATATAAATTCCAGATTTAAACTATTTCATGGATTGATAACATTTAGTGCTCACACTTTGTCCTTAATTGAATTTTGTATCATGGCCTCCAAGAACGCCCTAAAAGTGATGAAACAAAGTTTATATATCAGAATATAAATAAATTGGCGCAATGCTATATGGATTGCAAACGGCAACAGTTGTTTATAGTTGACAATAGTTTAATAATTATATAATTAAGTAATACATAATGTCGAATGATTCAGATTATTACATTCTTGTTTAATAGTGGATTATTGTGTTAGTGTGTCAGTCAAAACTAGAACTACGAATGATACCTACATAACTTACTACTACCCCAAACTACTATATTAGCATGCAAGTAATTATCTGAATCATGACATTACATAATATGCTAACAAAGTAGTACTTAAAAAAAAATCGATACGATCGCGCCAAACTACGTATGCCGTTCACAATCTACTGTCAATGTCACAAATTGTTAAAAGAAATTGCACAAAATTTAAATACAATGGAAGCAAACGCGAATAAATGAATGAGAACCCGACAATGATTTGTTTAATTTTGCTCGTTTTCATAACACACTTATTATTATTGGGTACTTCCCTGGGTCCTCTCCCTTGGTCTTGGAGGTCCTCTTGCTGCCCATCACGCAAATGAACAACTTGACAATCGCGTGGACCAATCAAGTCGCCGGCGGAGCCACTTGACACGGCTCAAAAATGACATCCTGCGCAAAAAAATTCGAATTGGTCCGATTAGACAATTATCAATAAAATTAAAATTAATTTAAATTATTTAATTTTTAATTGAAATTAAAAATATACAAAAGTAAAAATAAACAAATAGATAAATGAATAAAAAAATAAATAATTTATATAAAAAATCGCAAAATTGAAAAAAATAAACTAAACTAGTTGGTATTGATATTTTGTTTTGAGGCAAGTTACATGAACTTCCCGAAATGTATTAATAATTGATTTAATTAATAAAAAATAAATTAACTTATGAGTGATTAAAAGTATTCCGAGTGGATTTATTACATATAGCGAACTTGTTAACTCGGAGTATTTTCTAAAAACAAATTTTTAAAAATCAACAATTTTTATAATTGAACCTGTTTCTGTAGGAATTTAATGATTTAGTGTGTTCATCGAAACCGAGTACTCTATCGTTATACCAAGTAAATTGTATAATTTTAATTTTAACAAACGTCGAACTTTGATGAATTTTTAAAATTAAACTACTTGTCGTAAAGCCGTAATATTTCAGTAAGTTCTATAAGGCCATGATATATATCATTAAAAAAAGTTCCATAAAAATTGGATTAAATTTTTTTTTCAACAGTTAATTACAAGGAAATGGTTCGGTATATTTTTCCCTAAAACTAATCAGTGTCATTCCCAACTAATCTTTCGAACAGTTTTTGATTTTTAATTTCCCGAAGGAGAAGTTTATGTTTTCATCAAAAAATCCTATTCGCTATTTTTATGTTTTCTCGAAGTTTCAAGCCATTCTGAACTGAAAGAGACCAAGTTTGGAAAAAGTATGTGTGTGTGTGTGTGTGTGTGTGTGTGTGTGAACAGATTTTTTGCCGTAAATCGATGTTTTCTCAAAAACAGATATGCAAAATAATCGTAGAGGAACTACAGAAAGTTTATAATTATTAAATGGGTAAGTAAAAAAAATGTAGCATGTAAAAAAGATCATTTGTATGCATAAATAAATAAATGATTAAAACTCGTGTATGAGTAAATGAATAATAAAAAAATTGACCTATTTGCAAGCGGTATTTTAAAACATGTTACATGATGTTTGCGATATAGTGTAAATAATTGACTTAAATTAATTTATGAGTGACTTATAAGTATTATTGTAATAATGGAAAATTAAATATATAAAAAAAAAATTTAAATAAAATGAAAAAAATATGAATAAATTCTTAATGACGATATCAAAATATTAAGATGAATAAATAAGCAAATGATTAAATAAATTGCATACCTTGAAGTCTCTACGCGTATTCAGTTTAATAAATTCAGTTTCCATAGAAGTCTTTTTGATCCCTCAGCAGATATTTCTCTTATAGGTTGCCATCCTTAATTGTGGTAATAATTGTTTTTGTTATTTTCAAATGAAGATAGGTATTCAATTTGTAAATGTATATATTGTATATATTTGTTACAAAAGAATCGATACAGAGCCTATATAATGAATCTTGAACAAATATTTTGAATATTTAATTATTTTGAGATATGATAATTATGTGATTAGTTTTACATATTTTATTTGAAACTGTAAGCAATAGCAGTTAACAGTTGAAGCTTGGAGTATGTTTCTGGAAAAACTATGTATTGATCTTGTCCTTGTAGTATTTTATAAGTAAGTATTGAAAAGCATAATTATACTCTAGGTTTCTCAAAACCTAAATAATTCGACTTGTATCTTACGAAATAAGAATTGCTTGTTTTGTTATCTTACCGATAGTTAATGAAGCAAAGAAGTCTACTGCAGCAGTAAGATAATACAGGATTCTCATTCCAGAGTTAACTTATTTTTTATAATTAACTTGATTATTGTCGACAGCTTCTATTTTATAGCAGAGCTGAAATATAAAAGGTAATAATAAGTTTGGATTACTCTTTGTATGTCTTTATCTGAAATTAAATATTTCATGTATCTTTGACTAATTATTACAGTTATTCTTGTCATGAGAAATAAAATTATTTCAGTGTTCACATGACTTAGCCTCAATGCATTTTGCCTAGGAAACTTTAAATCGTAGCAGCCGTCAACAATAATATATACTATGGCTTAAGTAAATATTCAGGATCAGCACAGAATTTTCTTGTCATGAAGGATATTATATAAAAATTCAAAGGCTTTTTTTTTGAAGACCGTGACATTTAATAGTAAAAAGTACTTTGTTTTCAAAATCATTAAATTAAGATTTATGCATCAGCTTCATTTACTTACAAAATATTTTATATAAAAAGCATTGATTGTATTAGCATTACAGAATCTTTCTGAAGAATTATTGAGAATAATTAAAATCTTTCAACAATTTCAAAATAGAATCACATTATTATGCTCGAACCTGATTTATCATAATTATTTTTGTTTATCACAAGCCAGGATAGTTAAAGCAAATAAACTTTGAATTCAAATCAATATATTTCTACATACCTGTGTATGTGCCTACCCAATAATTTAATCAGTTCTTCATCTTGTCAATACAAGTAATTATTAAAATCGGACGCTTCGTTCACTTAAAAACTGAGTTACCGTTTTTGGCACTTTTTGCCCCGTATCTTCGGAACGTCTAGACCTGTCTTCGCCAAAAACTAATCCGCAAGTCTCCTTATCAATACGAATCAAATGTTTTTTTTAATTATTCAAATCGGTTGAACGGTGTTCCATATCCGCATGCACACACACACATCAATTTTTTTTTAAGGTTTGCCCAAATATTCAGAAACCTTTGAAACGTAAAGATATGAAAATTTTCATTTTCAATTTTTTTGTGATTACTATAACTTACCCTGCGGAAAGTTAAAAAAAAGGTCTATTGAAATCTAGTATGTACAAGCTATTTTTTCAAACTAAAGCAAATTGAATTTCAACATTTTCAAAGACACGATTCGGCAGATCTTTACCTAACACTAACCAATATGATTTCCAATTGATATTTTTTAAAAGGTTTTTAAATTTTTAAAATAGGTTCAGAGTTTATGGAAAAAACATGAACAAAATACTTGGTGATTTATTGATAATTTTTTTACATCTAGTAAACACCACATTTTAGGTAATAGAATGTCACTAATGGTTGGTTCAATAGGATGAATAAAACTAATTTAAATGTGATTATTTTCCAACTTACGTATACTCAACTAGGCTTGCCTCCAGAATAGTTCATTTTTCTCCTTTACAATTTCAAACAACTGAAGCAAAAAATCATCTACTTGATCATCCGTCATACTGGCAGTTGCAGTTTCTATGCTTCTTGTAGAATTATCACTAATATTGCAACTCAATGATCTAAAAGATTTAATTATTTGAATGAATTGTCACCAAGTCGATATTTGTCTTCATATGTAATAATGAAGTTTACCTCCAAATCATGTTTTTTATCTGCGATAGGCAATGGCATCACACTCATGCAAATGACAGGCATGGGAGGAGCTGGACCCTTTTCACGCTTCCGTTTTCCAGCATTTCTGTCATTATTCAGATGCCTATTGTTTGGAAGACCTATTCAAAAACATCAATTAATTTCATCTAATATAGATTAAGTTTTATTTATTTATCTCTTTAATTATTCACTTAACTAAATAAATCTGCAAAGGGTTAAAAAGATGTCAACATAATTGCAAATCGATAATAAAAATACTTACTAGAAAAATTAGTCGAACTTGCTGTTAATAAAAATCAACAATTTTGGAAAATTGCAAAACAATTTAATAAAAATTGTATTGTTAACCCATACCTTTAATTTATTACTTGTTTGCATGTCGCTGACTTCCTTGAAGACTCCATTAACACAAGAATTTCTAGTTGACGCCACGAATGCAAGGCCTTCAGCAATGAACTTCAACAAATTGTATTGTTTAATGATACCTAAACTATTTGCAAGTAATACCAATTATTTAAAAAAAAATGAAGCAAGAATCTAAAGCAACTGAGTCTAATAGAAAGTAAGTAAAAAACAAAATGGAGTATAATTTCAATTATGTAATAAATCCGAAATAAAGTGTGCACAATTACTTAAATGTCACTTTTGACGTTACAAGCAACGACACTGTTAAACACAAAATGGAATCGTAAATCCGAAGGCGTTATATAATTTGCACAAATACAACTCACCAGAATAATCAAGAGCTCTTCTGGCAAAGAGTCCACCTTGTTTTTCGTGCTCCGATGTAATGTATGCGCCCGGCAAGTCCAAAAAGAAAGAATGAATTTTTTGGCGACTCTTTCTGACCATAGAACCATAGATATGGGAAAATGGAGTATAATTTCAATTATGTAATTAATCCGAAATAAACTCTGCACAATTACTTAAATGTCACTTTTGGCGTTACACGCAACGACACTGTTAAACACAAAATGGAATCGTAAATCCGAACGCGTTATATAATTTGTACAAATACAACTCACCAGAATAATCAAGAGCTCTTCTGGCAAAGAGTCCACCTTGTTTTTCGTGCTCCGATGTAATGTATGCGCCCGGCAAGTCCAAAAAGAAAGAATGAATTTTTTGGCGACTCTTTCTGACCATAGAAACATAGATATGGGAAGATGTGCGAATGCAGAGTGTGCAAGTAGCGCCAATGATCCCCAAGCGACTCTTTTTGGTACTTATGAAATAGGCAAGGTTAAGGTGACCATAGATAAACAAGAGAATTAAAACTAATCAAGGATTTAATTAAAAACTCTTAATTAACGCGAAATTAAGTTCATTCACAAAAATCTCTTGACATTTGAAGCAATTACAACGTACAATTTAAAGCGCGAAATTCAAACAGAAAATTTAATCTACGAAAATTATGAAGTATTGTTATATAAAGTATATTTGTTGTTAAAGTTAATAAATTTGTCCGAAAATATAATTTATTTCAAATAAAATTGTTTATAAAATTATTTTAGCTCATTAATAAATATTTGATTTCAATTTTACATTTAAAACGAGCTGAAAATATAAATTATATTCCATAAGCTTTCATAATATGATAATAATAACTTATACTTAATTTACTTAATTACTATCAATTACATTTTAAATCTAAATAAATAAATGGACATATATTGCATTGCATTGCACATCATTCTATAAAGACCATTTACATGAAGTACTTGACTTGATTTAATAAAAAGACAATACAAAGAATATCATATGTAACTAAAGCTAGTTTTTAAACATTTACACTGTCGTTTCACTTCTTCTCAAAGATACAAAGGCAACTTGCTTTTTACATCATTATAATATTCATTCTCAGATGTTTCATCTTCCTTATTACTTATTCAAGATGTCGACAGATTGTTTCAAATCTATTTCATCAATAGGTGTGAAACTGTAATGATAAAACTGTAAAAGTTCCAGTTAAAGGTACTCCTAAAGTCTGATATGGAAATGGTCCACTGCAAGGATTAAACTTAAAAGATACTGAGGATGATGGCATGGGTAAAAAAATTTGGAATCTCCTATAATAGTATTAGTACTAGAAATATTATTGCTGGCACAAACAACTTTAATTTGCATTAAAACATATTTATCAAAATATAATTAAAATGTATTTAAAACTTAAACTTGTTTAATTGTGATCATATGACAATAAAGCTATTTCACTTCTAAGAATAATTAATTATTTGCTCCATTTGCTACATTTTAGCAAACTCATTATGCTTTGTATTAAGTGTAGAATTTAATAATTCAAAAAGAAGCCAGCATCATTAGCCTGTTAATCTAGAAATAGCAGCTTCAAAAACTTGCTAACAGAAGTTGAATGTGCGTTCTATAATTGATAAAAATTAGATATTTCAAATCTAAATCATCATTACAAAATCTTAAGTTTATTGCTACATATTATATTTATTGCTACGTATTATATTGATTATCATAAGTTGTATAAAAACTTCTGTTGTAAGTTTCAAACAGTTGATAAAAAATTATATAAAGTAATCTACAAGAAATACTTTTGATAAAAAGTCAATATAAAGAAAATCATACATAGCTAAAATTAAGTTTTAACTATTGACACGGACATTTCATTTTTTCTCAAAGGTACGAAGGCAATTTGTTTTCTATATCATTATAATGTTCATGCTCAGATATTTCATCTTCGTTAATTGTGCTTCATAGGTTAGTTACAGTTAAAGGTACTCCTATAGTATGCATTGGAGGCGATCCATCTTAAGTTCTAAACACAGAAAATGCACAGCATGATCCATTGCAGACACGAAAAATATGGATAGACACATCGTTCTGGATTCTTGGAAGTTCCTATAATGGAAATATTTGGGTTGTAATAATGAATAATGATATTTTACATTACTAGCAAAATCAATTACATAATAAACTATATCATATAATTCTTATTTTTGGCAATAAAGTTCATATAAATTACTTTATTATTATAAAAAATTATATTAATTCGGATCATTCAGTATCAAATTACTTAAACGCTTGTAATTATACTGTTTTAAATATTAAATATTTAAAGAATAAATTTATTTTTATAATGTTAATTGAGTAAAATATTAAATATTTTACATTTGCCTTTTGTTTATTGTATAAATGTATTTAAAACCTTGAAGTTTTCTTATCTTCATGCACAAAATTATAGTTACCTATATTTACATTTTTAAAGACATCATCATTTGGAAATCAGCATAAATGCATTTCTATTAATATATGTATCAGACTTGTCTTGTTATCTCTGAAGTACAGGGACAATCCTGTTAGCATCCCGAACAATTATTATTCTCCAAAGTATGTATACTTGCAACAGTGCAAGAATCCATAACACTATAAAATAAAATTCAGTGAAATTATTGTTATTAATTAAATACTTGTTTGTGAAACATACATATTATATGCACTATATAAAGTTCTTATTATTTTTAAACTCAATTCATTCTAAAAGCATTGTAATAGTAGAAACTAGTATGTATATTATTCGAAGCACATCAATAATTATCAATTCATTGACAATTAATTAAAACTCAGTAATGCTTTTGCTTCAAAGTACTTTTGATAGGACAAAGAATTCATTTTTCATTATAAAAAAATTGTAAATATAAATCTGATTCAATAAAGAATTTATCTATAGAATAACTTACAGTGAAATCATTCATTTCATTTGATTCAATTACATTCACATAAAATTCTAATAGGTTTATGTGGTATTTTTTTAGATTATTGTGAGCAAAATGTACTTTTGAACAAAATTGTGTTTCTTAAATAAACTATAAGCATTTCTCATCAGTTTTTGACTCAATTCATTAAAAAATATTTGGCGTTTTATGTAACTACAACTGAAGTTTAATATACTGGTATTACTACTTTGATTTATCATTTTACTCTATATTATTATCACATGAATTGGCAAATTCATTGGAATTGTAGTTCGATATTTAAGTTTTCATATGAATAAAATTAAATTTTCTAAAACTATTATATATAATAGTATATAAAATGTTGCAAAACTTACTCAATCTTCTACTCATCATCTCTGTTTTTCTGTTTAATGTATATTTCTGAGAAGACAGTTAAATAAAACTAATGGTATGCCTTTACATAATTCATCAATAATATATTTCATTTAATTTTTTCTTTCTTGTTTCCTTACAAGTTATAAGCACCTGTGAAAAGAATATAGTTTTATTACAAGAAACACTACTTAGATAGTGAAAAATTTTACTAGATTACTACATCGATGTAACGATTTAATTAAAAGTTTAATTTTAATAATTAACAAAGAAATAAGTTTTAATAATAATCATAAACATAGGAATTGATATAAAAAATATAATATATAATAGCCACATGACACTTCATTTGAAATATAATAATCATAATGATAATCAATTTTACTTACATTAAGGTTATTTGAATTCGTAATAGTCACACCATACATTGTGCACGAATAATATTGCACTTTCATATATATATTCTGACGTTTCTGCTCTCCTAATACTTCGAAGCGATTATAGGAGCATTTTCGTAAGAAGTAACGAGAATTGTCCGCCATTTATATATTTGGAGCTGTCAAAATGAGGCAACCAATCAGAAAGCAGGACTACATTTAACAAGAAACCAGGCCCGCATTTTGAACAAATTTATATGTTGAATAAAACAAATATATAATTTTTTTAAAAAAGTCGGAAAAGCACATTATTATAAAAATTACACTAATTATAATATTACTAATAAATGTAATTTTACTTTAAAATATACTATGTGTCTAATTTATAAAAGTTAATAACAAAATAACTTTTGTTTTATATTATTTAACTAATTACAAAGATAGCGCTGCATGCAATCGCCTCTATGAATCTAGAAATCTTATTGGATTCCTTTATACGCTTTTATATATAATTATGATCCCGGCTTAGGAGTAATATCAATATATACATTTATATATCGCTTTATACTCTATTATAAATATAATTGTCATCTCGGTTATATAGTCATATCAATATTTACAATCAATCGTCTTGGAACTTAGTGGATTCCTTTATAAGCAATTATATATAATTGTGGTCCATATATACACACACACACATATATATATATATATATATATATATATATATATATATATGGAGATTTGAACTCGAAATCCAAAAACGAGAACATACGCCATTGCGATCGAAGCCATTTAACGATCTCACCCACCCGTCGCTGACAAACATTTGATTGAATTTGGTACTTTCGTTCTGATTGAATTTTGATCTTAACAATAATTTCACATACCTCCCTCGCCATTTTACTTGTCAAATAAAAAACCCCAAATGCACCCTTTGGGTTCGAACCAGCCTCCTTCTGATTAGAGTCTAGTTTAGCGCTCTAACCATTGCGGCCACGGCGACGAAGAATTTCCGCCTGCTAATGCTGAAAGGACATTCTTCGACGACTGACCATCATCATTCGAGTCAAGGTCACAGGGGGATGATATGAAAAAATTAAATGTTTACCCAGGGGGTTGAAAGTGGGCTCATTCGATACTGCTGGTCCTTGCGAATTTCGAGCGGGGGGTTACAGGGGGGAAAATTTTGTCCGTTTTTCGCTCAGGAGAGCAGAAAATCGACTTTTTTAAAATTTCACGGATTTTCTATGGGAATTTTTTGAAGATTTTTTGCGTTTTCAATGTGACCTTGACCTTGACCTTGACCACGACAAGGTCAGCACAAAATCTCCCTGAAAACGCAAAAAGTTTTCAAAAAATTCCCATAGAAAAAACGCAAATTTTACAAAAAGTCGATTTTCTGCTCTCCTGAGCAAAAAACGGACAAAATTTTCCCCCCTGTAACCCCCCGCTTGAAATTCGCAAGGACCAGCAGAATCGAATGAGCCCACTTTCAACCCCCTGGGTGAACATTTAATTTTTTCATATCATCCCCCAGTGACCTTGACTCAAATGATGATGGTCAGTCGTCGAAGAATGTCCTTCCAGTGTTAGCAGCCGGAAACTCTTCGTCGCCGTGGCCGCAATGGTTAGAGCGCTAAACTAGACTCTAATCAGAAGGAGGCTGGTTCGAACCCGAAGGGTGCATTTGGGGTTTTTTATTTGACAAGTTAAATGGCAAGGGAGGTTTGTGAAGATATTGTTCACACATGTACCAAAATCAATCAATTTTTCACAGGTGATGAAATGGACGAGGTTGTTAAATGTCTTCTGTCGCAATGGCGATTGTTCTCGTTTTTGGATTTCGAGTTCGAATCTCAAAGGAAATTTATTAAGTATTTTAGTTTATTTTTTCAATAAATTTTAAATAAACATTTAAATATGCTTGAAATATAAATAATAGTTATAAATTATAAAAAATTATAGAATTTGACACTTTTTAATTCAAAGTATTAGTATTCTTAGTAATTAGGCATGATAAATAATTAAAAATTGATTAAAAAAATTAGGGATAGTGTTGGTCAATATCTTAGTCAATTACTAAAGAATTAACAAACTATATCTACATAAATCATTTATATGACCTAGCCACCTTAATTTGTATGGGAATAAATATATAAATGTTATATTGCTTTTACCATCATTATATAGAGCTAGCTGTCTTATTATGTATGAAATTTGATATTATATATATATATATAGATATATATATATATATATATATATATATATATATATATATATATAATATAGAAACCCTTTGCGCATATGCAACCTGAAATACTCCATATATAATTATAATGTATTTAATAAAATGCACATAAAAATTATAATAAAAGAATAAAATCAAGTTATATATATTTATTTATATAATTACAAAATTATTTAAATATAATACAAAATATTTGATGAGAATAAATAGCCAAATACACATTGATATTACTTCTAAGCCTCGCGAATAGTATACTTATACGTATAGTATATTATACTTTCATACATATTCTGAGATGTGTCTGCTACCCTGGTAGATCGGAAGCAAAATTCGTATGAAAATGCACAAATTCTATGAATGAATATGAGCTCGTATAAAGCGCGTATATGAACGTTAAATTACTTAATATAAATTTAATTTAATATTATTATTAGATTTTTGAATAAATTAATAAGTATAATGTAAAATAAAATGGATATATCTTTATGTAAATGGATTTTTATGTATGATTGTAATAAAGTAAATAAAATTATTAATTATAGACCTATTAATTATTGTTTGCCAAGAAGCAACCTGAAAAATTCTATAAATTACACATCCATGTTTAAAAAAAATCAAATTAATTTACTTAAATAATTATTAATATACATAATTACAAAATATTACAAATATACTCATATGTAATTAGCAAAATCACAATGATTTAAATATATATTAATTTAATGATAATAATATTATTCAATAAGTATATGATACATATGATGTATTATATATTGATACATATATGATATGATACATATGATGTATTAATATATGATATATTAATTATTGTTTGTCAAATTATTTATTTATTGTTATTAATTATTGTTTGCCAAAAGCAACCTGAAAAAATACTATAAATTACACAACCATGTTTAAAAAAAAAATTCAACTCTGAGAATAATTGATTGTATATTCACAAATTGACCTCACAATCCATCTGTTATACATAATATTCATGAAATATATTTCTTCATGATGAGAATGATTGCTTAATGATAAGATTATTTAAATGATGAGCATGATTACTTATTATTCTATAGCTGGTATTTACTTAAGCTAATTCGCTTATATATAGGTCATTGATTAATTAATTAAGAACATTGTCTATTAAAACTTACTTCAAATTTGCTCCATTGTAATTTAATCATTTTAACGAACATGTATCATGCTTTATATAAAAGTTTAATTCTGTAGGATTCGATAATCCAAATAAGTTAGCACCATTAGCCAGTTGGTAATATAAACATTGTATAGCAGCTGCTTCGAAATCATACTGCAGTGGCATTTCATGACATTAGTTTAATGTGGTTCCTACAATTGATATATAATTAAGATATTTCAAATGTAAAATAACATTACAAAATCTTAATTTAGTTATTATCAACATTTATCATTCCTAGGTAAATTTCCACTACCATAAATAATCAAAGATAAAAAACAAATCCTACTGGATATACTTATACAGTCAATATTATTATAAGCTGTTTTTCCTAAATATTTAAATAAGTGATAAAATTAAAATAAAATAATAAATTTAGAATTTTGATATACGATGAGATTGCCTAGTTCTAAAGACAATATTGCTTTGCCAAATGCAAAAGCTAGAAACTTTTTTGCAACAGTTTTCATATAGCTTGGATCAACTAGTTTTGTCTTGATTTAGCTACATGAGTGATGATATTTAATCAATTGTAATAATCACAGAGAATATTTAATATTAAAACTTTTTATGTCACTTACTGTCAGAAGAAGTTCTCATGGGCTTAGACAATATTAGAATATGATGTATTCATGAATATCATGGGGTCATCTCTTCATTTAACAGCTTTGTGTTCGAATCTTTTTGAAATTGATAACGATGTTGATTCAAGAATTCTGCTTCACATATCAATACTATACTCAGTGAACACATCAATAATGTTGTCAATAAATATATGTTATTTCTTCCTTAAAAATTAGAATCCTGTGCTGCATTCGGACAACATGAAGTTTAACATACTAGCGTAAATTGGTTAATTTATTAGAAAATATAATTTGAGTTGTAGGTGAATAATTAAGTATTCATTTAAATAAAATAAATCGCACATACACTAAAATAGAATTCAACATTATATTAAGTGTTCATTTAAATAAAATAAATCGCATATACACTAAAATAGAATTTAACATTATAATAGTACATAAAATGTTGCCATACTTACTCGAAGCAGTAATTTTCTATTCTCCATCCTTGTTTAATAATATACATTTATAACAAAAATGCATCTAAAATATTATCATATAGTCATTATAGTTTTGCAAACTATACATGCACTGCATATACATATATAAATTATTATTCTCTATGAATAATATAGTTTTTGCTAGAAAATTAAGGGAGTCTTCTACCTTGTTGGTTGAAAAAAATCGATTTATTTATTTTGCATTTTTGTGGCCTGAAAGGTACTAGAAATATAATATTGAAAGAGTACTTTATAGCCCTGGCATTGCAGATTGATTGTAAGTACCTTTTCTTCCAAGATCGAAGCATTAATATCTTTGAATGCAATTTCCCAAAGTTGTACTAGAAATATAATATTGAAGTGGTACTTTATAGCTCTGGCAGGGCAGATTGATTATAAGTAACTTTTCTTCCAAGATCATAATGCATTAATATCTTTGAATGCAATTTCCCAAAGTTTCGCAACTGGTTGACAAAATATCTCGAAAAATAATTGATTAATTGACTATTTATTTGTTCATTTCAATGATTTTTACAGCAATTCTGGATCTTGAAAGTGAAAATTCATTAAAATTTATGTTAAAAGAATAGAAATAAACAAGTTAAATGCAAAAAACGGCACCTTCATTGAATTATTGGTTTCCCTACGATTCATTATCAAAAAACAGTATCAGAAATGAGGCCCCAAGGTAGAAGACCCACTTAAACTATGATAATACTAACATTGTAACGATTATGATAAAAATTTCCATTTGAAATACAATAACAATCATTTTGTACTTACTTTTAGTATTGGTACTTATATTGTATATATCCAATTTCTGTACAAAATAGGGCAAAAAATAGTACACATCTACTGATATATAAAACAATATACACATTTATTCGTATTTATAAATGTTTCATATTCTAATATTGTCTATGCATTTATTCATCCGATTTTTTTGAATTCATATTTACTTGTCGTCGATGAACTGTCAAACGTTTGACGTTTGGTCTGTGGCGCCATCTGACACAGAACTATATGAACCCGGTAGTCACTACGTAGTTCCCAACAAACTGGGAACGATTTTGCATAGAGGCGCTGCAAGCGTCATACTTCACATGTGTGGCGGGATATTTGAATTTATATATTCAATTTCCATACATACTAAGGCGGCTAGTCCATATATAATGATGGAAAAATCAATATATACATTTATATATTCAATTTCCTTACATACTAATGCAGCTAGTTCATATATAATGATGGAAAATCAATATATACATTTATATATTTGATTTCCATACATACAAAGGCAGATAGCCCATATGTAATAATGGAAAATCAATATATACATTTATATATCCTTTTCCCATACAAACTAAAGCAGTTAGTCCATATGTAATGATGGAAAAACCAATATATACATTTATATATTCACTTCTCATACATACTATGGCAGCTAGTCCATATATAATGATGAAAAAATCAATATATACATTTATATATTTGATTTCCATACATACGAAGGCAGATAGCCCATATGCAATAATGGAAAAATTAATATATACATTTATATATTCGATTTCCATACATAGGAAGGCTACTCCATATATACTTAATGATGAAAAAATCAAAATATATATATTTATATATCCCTTTCCCATATAAACTAAGACAGATAGTCCATATATAATCATGTATAAATCAATATATAAAACCGTGAAAACTTGAAAACTTATATCTTCAATTCAATATTCCACTAATTGTAAGTATAAACAATAGGCAAAGATGAATCTCATTATAGGAATGAATGAATGATTAATAATATACATTGAGTCGAATGAAATAACCACAACTTAAATTAATTTATTTTAACAGTAAACATTTTCAGATCATACATTTAACTAATACCAATTTTTCATAAAAGCTATAATATTTTAAACCTGCAGATCTCAAGAATATAAAATTAAGTATCCATTATACATACAGAAATATTTAATTATTAAGTGAAATAAATTATTTATTAAATTAGCTTTATATAAATACTCTATCTACAGAACATAGTGTATTAACAAGAAAATTAAAAAAGTAATTAAATAATATATCTAAATTATTTTAATATATTTTCTAATGTCGCTCCATGGCAGGATTGTCGTGTCCAACATCAACAACGTTCGACTTGAATTTTGTTTTAAGCTTCTTTTGAATTTCTTCAAACGACAAACCTGGTAATAATTGTTAATTATTTATTTATACAGTCACAGGTTAAGAGCATGTCAAAATAATAAAATATATATAGTTTTCAAAAAATAAAGTCAATAGGTCAACATTAATTTTTTAATTCGAATTAATAAAACGAAGAAATTTGTGAGTGTTTTTGAAGACATAGAAGCAAAAACATTTAAAAACAAGTGGTTCTCTTAGAAAATAATTATTCATGTCTGAATTATTCGTCTTCATTCAATATGATGATATTCTAAAAGATGTATTCTAGCAGTTTTACTAAAACCATCTTTAATTGAAGTCAGAAGCAAAATTATATAAAAAGTTTATTTTACGAAATTAACAAGAAATTCGTACAAAACAATCAAAGTATAAGAGTGCCTGCCTCTTTAATTCTATCACGACTCATTTTATTTAAAATTTTGATACCCAATTTTGATACCCAAGAGTATATAACAGTTTTGATTAGATTTTAGTAACTTTTATCTAGTTTTCATTAATGTAAACAAATTATGAAGTCCAGAATGTAAATCAAAAGTTATTTGAAGAAAACTAAAAAAATGTCCTAAATCGGGATTTATTTAATATATGGCCATATATTACAAATTATGGAAATACTACAGTACACATTATTTCACATGCAAATTATTCAAAATTTTAATATTAAAGAGTATATAACAGTTTTTATGAGATTTTAGTAAATTTTATCTAGTTTTTACTAATGTGTACAAATTAAAATTTACTCTATTGAAATGTCCTAAATTTACATCAAAATGTCCTCCCAGTCTTCGAGACGAGTATTTTTACTCACCCCGCTTATAGTGTGTTTTATGATTTATTTTATTTATTATAATTATTTATGGGTTTTTCTGACAATAGTTTATTAATTTCTTTGGTCCAAGATTATTTAAATTATGTCCAATTATATTAAAAGAAAATAATTCATTTTATTTCAATTCACTCAGAGTGAATTGAATAAACTATCTATTATTTATCATATGTTAGCTTTACATATAAAATGTTTTTTGGTTTGTGTAATTTTTTAACCCTAGATTTACTTTGTATTATTTTATGATAAATTTAATATATTTTAAATTATTTCCTTTATTATTTTTTGTAGTTCTGTCCACTGAGGAAGAGTCAAATTGGGATTCGAAACATATAGAAATCGATTAATTTTCTACTAAATTCGGTTTTTAAATTCTATATAACTTTGTTTAATAAACTGACAAAACATCTAAAACTATGATATATTTATTATTTTTATGGATTTTCTCCATACATTGGCAACTACGTAAAAAGTCTAAGCTCTCTGTTGATAATAAGTTGCTGCTATATAAATCAATTATTAAACCAATCTGGACCTACGGAATTGAGCTCTGGGGATGTGCTTACAAATCAAATATAGCTATAATGCAGAGAACTCAGTCAAAAATTTTACGTACAATTCTTAATTCTCCGTGGTACGTGACAAATGAAACCTTTCACAGCGACCTCAACATGAAACGGTGCAATTAACGTTCAAAGAATTCAAGGGAAAATACAAACGCAAACTGGACTCACATTCGAACCCATCAATAGTTGACATTACTCAACCTTTTGGCATAAGGAGATTGAAACGACAATGGTCTTTAGACTTAGTCTTAGATTAGATCTAATATAATATTATCATTATATTGTAAAACTGAGAAGATCTCACTGAAGTTCTTCTTAGGCATTGCTCTTAAATATTGCCAATTTAGCTCATAGTAATCTTTATGTATTTCTTATTACTGAGTTCAAAAAAAAAATGGATTTTCTCCATCTATGAAAAAGTTCAAACGACTACCCTAATCATATTATTCTGAAATAACCCCTCTCTTTCCCCTTCATAAATATTATGATTATTTGTCTTACCTCTGGTCTCCGGTAAGAAAACTGCCACAAATATGACGGAAAGAGCGCAGAAAAATGCATATAGTCCAAAAGTTCCTGAATTTTTCAAGAGGGCTTGCAAGTCATCAAAAGTGAGAGCGATCACAAAGGCGGTGACGAAACAGATGGACGTGCAGATAGCGGATGCATGAGCTCGGAGATGTCCAGGAAAGATTTCGCTTATAACCACCCATATAGCACCACCGAAACCTGAAATATTAAATAACATGTTATCTGAATTAATCACTACAAAAAGAGATACCAATGGGTAAACTCTATTTTAGTCATAACATAACGTATCGTCATTCAAAATTACTAAATGTTTTTTGTATGTTATAAAACAGATTGTAATTGAATCTTGAGAAATACAAAGAAACTAGTTGGTATTGGTACTTTGCCTTGAGGCAAGTATTTATTCAGGCGTTATTTAATATAATAATTTTCTGCATTTTTATAGTTATTAAAAAATATTAAAACAGCATAGCTTTACTCTATCATGCCAAAGGTATATCTTTTTCAGGATTATATCTCAGACACCTTTGGAAGTTTAGAGAAAGTCTACATGTTTTTGATTATGATGGCTATTAAGTATTTCATAGTTGTATATTTTTATAAATAACTATAGCAAACCCGACGAACTCCGTTTCACCACCAGATGGTTTCGTGAGAAAGATGAAGAAATTTTTTGTTCGTTTTATATTTGAAAAGGAAAAATTTGATTTTATTACACAACAGTAATGAATTATTTCAATTACAAAAATGAAGTGTTTTTAGTTGAACTTCTCTAAGTAAATGAAAGTGAATCCGCAAACTATCCGTTTCGTTGAAGCGCTCTTTGGTAACCACATTTTGTATTTGGTCTGACGTTAACACAAACAATGCGGATGGTTTCCAACTCGTGAACAGGTAACGTATAACTGCCCATGTGAAAAAACAATGATTTCTAAATAATCTATTTGAAATTTATCCCGCAAACACTAAGCGATTGGCCTTGCAACTTATTATTGCGAACGCAAGACATTATTGAAGTCAAAGGGAAGACCAATCGGAAACAATGGTATGTCACCAAATCGCCAGCAATTTTTGATTGAATGGTGAAATTCAGCGCGTGTACATCATTATTCTTTGCGGAAAGAATTGCTCGTTGAATTAACCAAGCATAATTCTGATAATTCTCACTAATGTCATTACTCGAATTTTTAATTACGGTGCGTAAAGTTCCAGCAATTTATATTAAGGCACGATATCATGCACCACTAATGTTCTTAGCTATAAACATTGCGGAGCCCGAGAATGCAAAATTGTCGAAATCGGTTCGTGCGTTCTGGAGTTATATCGTCAGGAAGGAAAATCCGACTTATTTTTATATATATGTAGATAAACAATGAAATGTTATTCAGATTTATTACTCTAAACAATTGTTTAGATCTCTGATCTCTTAAGAGATCAAGCACAACAATAGTTTGTATAGCTGTATATCATTTATATACAGATATACTTCATAATGAACATCTTTGCAGATTATTTATTGACAGTGTTAATGAATTTATTCACGATTGTTATAAGTTCACTGTGTGAACGAATATTATAGAATTTATTAATCAGCATTTACTTCATTTCTCTATTAAAGAGACAAGTCATAAATGATGCTAATTACAATGACAAACCGATTATGTCTAAAGTATGACTTCAATTACATTAATATAATATATATATATATATATATATATATATATATATATATATATATTGAATATTAATTGTAGATATCACATAACTCACCAATAGAATTTGTAAAAATAAAAGCAGCTATACATCCCATTGGTATCGAAGTCAAAGAATCAGCATTCATCAAATTATTTTCAATTATATAAAAATACGCACCAAAGGTTCCCTAAAACATAAATTTCCAAAAATAACAATATATTACTATTCCAACACCATCAAAATTTAATTTTAAAATATTTTAATCAAAACTTGTAAGTTAAAAAAACTTACCATTGCGATGGTCATCCCGGCGCCTGAAAATATTAACAAAGACTTTCTGCCGCATCTATCAAAAATAAAAGGAGTAATGAGTGCAGCAAATGTTTGAATCGCTCCTGAAATATAATATGAAAAAAATGTTGAAAAAGTAATTAATAAGAAAAGTAAATTATGATATGCTCTGACACTACTAAAACCTCTGTCGGTTGGAATTGGTATTTTGCTTTGAGGCAAGTTACATAAACTTCCCGATATGTATAAATATTCGACTTAATAAATAAAAAGTAAGTTAAGTAATTAATAAATAAGTGATTAAAAGTAAAACAAGATTTACCAACCCATTATCATGGCCATGACATCTGGCGAAAGACTTGATGCCGTTTGCTCGAACAAGGATTCGGCGTAAATTAGAACGGCGGTGACTCCTGATAATTGAAAGAAGACGGCCAATCCTATTCCCAAAAACAATGGCAATTTTTGGGTACCACTGCATAAAAGCTCACGATATGAGCCATCCTTGGCTGCTTCCACATCTGCCTAAATATAAAAGAAAATTAATAAAAAGGCATTCGAAATCGAAGGAGGATTTAATTTGTTTAAATAATTTGGGTAAATTAATTGTATATTGTGATAGATTTTCTGTAAATTTAATAGTAAAGTTTTACCTGTATTTGCTTAACTTCTTTATCTATTTCATCTGCAGATCTATCTCTTAAGCGAACTAATGATGCTTTTGCTTTATCTAGCTTACCTAGAAATTAATATATTCTAAATTAACCAATATTTATAACAACTGCAGATTATATTCTATAAGGTTGTTCGGAAGGTCACTTTGTTTTTTACCATAGAGGATTTAACTATATTTTTTTGAACCTAACATCACACAATCTGTATAATTATTATATGATTTGAAAGCTTGTAATTTTAAGGTTTGTGTGTAAAAAGTTCTAATCAATTACACGCAGGGAAATAGGGAAAAGAATTAAGCAGCAATTCCGACATATTTTGCTCTTTTCCTATAGGTAAGAGAAAAATACTGTTTAAGACAAAATGAAATTAACCGATGTATATGGAAATGACGTGTTGATAGTACAACAGTGCCACAACTGGTTTGCTAAATTTAATTCCTGCTATTTGGATGTCTAAGATGCACCAAGTCCAAGAAGTACGGTTGAAGCTGACAAAGTTGTGAGAAAGACATTAGTTGATGCAAACCGGCGAAAAACAATACATGAGATCCCATTGAGTAAAAACTTATCAAATTTAACAGTCCATGACTACTTTAAAGGTCTCGGATTTTTCTCAATGTATGGTTCTCATTGAAAGAAACCTGTGTCATCGCACTGGCGTCCGTGATTCGCCTTTGAAAAGTCCTGAAAATTATCAGGTTTTAAAGATAATTATTACTAGGAATGTCAAATTGGATGTAAAGAATACATGATATAGAATTGTCCATAAAACAAAAAACAAGAACCCACTCAGAACAGTTGCAAAGCTGAAATTTGCCCAAAAAAAAGGTGATGCTGTATGTTTGGTAAGATATTAAAGGAGTAGTTCGTTTTTTAGCTTCTCCAGGATAACATAACGGATGCCTTATGTCATCAGCTTGATAAACTAAATGATGTACTTCAATAGAAAAGGTCAGAATTAACCCAAAAGCAAGGTATAGTATTGCATCAAGACGAAGCAAGACCTCACATAAGTTTGGTCATTCGCCAAAAGCCAATGAAACCCAATTTCACATTCAGAATATTCTCCAGACCTGTCATCATGGGATCATTAATTGTTCCGGACTCTAAAAAAATGTAAGAGGTAAAACCTTTACCCCAAATGAGGAGGTCAAAAAGCATCTTGATCAGTTTTTTGCCAATAACGACCAACAAAATTATGATCTCGAAATTATGCTAATACCAGGAATATGGCAAAAGATGCTCGATCAAAACAGCCAATACATAATTTATTAAAGTATTTGTTTATGGTACGAATTATACGTCCTAACCACGTGGCTTTCTTAGAGAACAATCCAAAGGTGGTTCCTATCTATATTTGATATATTTTTTATTTTTTTCCCAAAAGTCATACTATATGTATTGTTAACTTTATACAACCTGATCAATATAACTGCTGATTGATATCAGGCTGTCCTGGTTTCGTAATAACTATATCTTTTTATGAACCTTAAACTTGGTGGTTACGAAACCAAAAGTTTACCAAAAGCTTACCACAACAATCCTATTTAAAAAAGAAATTAAATTTTCTTGAAATACTAACCTTAGACGCACAAACAGTATGGACTATCGGCATAGGAATGAAACAAATTGCGAATATTATTGGAATGATTCCACATATTGGGTGAAGACGACGTAAGATGTGTAAGGGCCTATGCAATATACCCAGCAACATCCCAATAGTTAGAGTAAGTTGCAATAAGGCTCCTAATGTACCCGAAAAGTGTTCTGGAAGAAAAAAAAAAATAAAATTATACATAACAGAATTTTTTTTTTTTT